AACTCCCTGGAAGCTGACTATTTTCTGCTGATCAAGCCACAGGTAATCGAAATTCATTCACTAACAGGGGTCTGAAGAGTTTTTAGGGAGCCTGTAGGAAGATTCCCAGTATTCCATTCATGTGTAGTGTCATGAAGTTTTTTTAAATTACTGTTGTATATCCCATAGCAGTAAGCCCAAAAGTGCTTTTACGGATAGAGTGTGTGTAACCTACTGATTTTTTTAAGTTCACTTTTAGTAGCAAGAACTCTGAGAGACACTTGCAGCATTACAAATGAGAGGCCACTGCTGGATGGGTATCATTTCCGCTCCAAACACCAGTATAGGTTGTTAACGCTGTAGTAATTTCACCACAAAGCTGAATGCCAAAGCAGTAACAAACCAGCAAAGTTACAAGTGGCACAAAGATTCAGTCGGTTTTGTCGGATGCACGTCCAGATGAGAGTTTTACAATCCTTAAATACCTGACTGTGGCATGATTTCAGTCGACTGTTACACAAAGCAGCAGTAGTGTAAGTCAGAGTCTCTGCTGCTCTGTGAAGAGAACGGGCGCTGACTTGGAGACTGGCACTTGCAGAACTAGGACCCAGTCTGGTATATCTCCAGATGCTAGCATACCAGATTTAAAAGCAAACAACTCAAATGAGATCATACATTAGTCAGAAAAAAAGTTGCAAACCATGATGGTCTTGAATTATTGCATCACTTATTTTGAAATACAGCTAACTTTAATTAGCCATCTGACTTACCCTTTTTCTGTATGCCACAGCTTGAAACGCCTGATAACCCAGACCAACAAATTCAGTGACAACTTGCTTTTGTCACTCACATAGATTTGGGTGCTAAATACAAAGTACTTTGAAATAAGGAAGAAAGTCCCATATGTTAAAGTTCCAAACTCTCAAGGGTGAGAAAAAATATGCATGGTTTATGTCCTTTTAAAGAAATCAATTCTGCAAAAGGAGTAACAGTTTCTGCAGAAGGAGCAGATTCTGCTCTTTAGCCAGGGCCTTTACAAATTAGCACTAACTCATTTTTTGAGATTTTGCACTGCAAAAGTTCTTTATTGAGTTACCGATTGAGCTTGATCTATTCAAAGCAACAAAATGTCCCATTTTTTAATGATTTTGAGCAATTAATTTCAAACTATAGGCATTAAAAGACATCTGGTTTATTCTCAGTACATTTATCTTTGTGTCCCATTCAATAGTATCAAACAAGTAGGTCACAGTTACCTGACACTGTCCAGAGTGGTCCCACAGTTTACCAAGCTGAAGGCCTCAAGCCAAGATCCTACAGTGAATTTAATCTTTGCACACTACTGTCAAGTAGCCTCACACTGAAAAATCCAACTGAGCCAGTCCAAAGTTCCTGATCACTGACTTTATTTTACTGAAAAATCCAATTGCAAGAGCTGCTCTTGGTTTGTCATATGCCAAACAATAGCCTTGATGATGTCTGCTCCAAACTAATATGGAAGTTTGAGTTGTAAGAAATGGCTTCCTGGTAAGCTCTAAGAAAATTATTTTCACTAACTCAGTCCTTTTCAAATGGAAAAAAAGTTGTAAACCATTTATAGTGATTACACACAAATCCTTTCTCTGCAAAGAACTCCAGCAGTAACCATTACTCTTTTGAAGTAATCTAAGCTGTGTATGCTCATCGTTGTTCTGAAGGCTCCAAGCTGAAACTGCATCCTCTAGCAGCCTTTGACAGAATTTTTCAGCTAGCACTATTATGGAAGGCAGAGGTGACAATGCCGCAAGTGGCTGTTACCATATTTAATGTCTTTAATAGATTTATCTTGAACATGAATCCATTAACAAGGCCAACCGTTACAAACAAACAAACCAGCCATCACTACAGAATCATACTTGTGAACTGAGAGACAATGGACTTCGCAAACACCCTCCCATGCATAACCACACTTTGTCCAACCTGACCTGTTCAGTTTAGGAGGCAGTTGCTCCTGACTGGCAGTGCCAGCACCACAGGCAAAAAATTTCAATGTCATTACCAGGGAAGCTTTACTGAAATGTTTTACTGCAAGTTTATTTCCTCACTTTCAGGAGATCTTGTTTAATTAAAACTATTACACTGGCAAAGGTGGCCAACAGCCACCTGGACTGAAGAAAAGTGCCACTGGCAGGTTGAGGGAGGTGACAGGTGAGAGTGTATCCAGCGTGCCATAGTCCAGCTCTCCCCTCCCCAGTACAGGAGAGAGGTGGACATTCTAAGCTGAATCCATCAAAGGGCCATGGAGATGATGCAGGGACTGGAGCACCTCTCATACAAGGAGAGACAGAGAGAGCTAGGCAGCCTGCAAGGGAAGGATTGGGGGAATCTCATCAGTGTTTATGAATACCTGATGGGGAGGGGCAAAGACAGAGCCAGACTCTTCTCAGTGGTACCCAATGGCAGGATGAGAAGCAATGGACACAAACTGAAACACTGGAATTTCCTCTTAGGTAGGGAATAGAATATATTTTACATAGGAAAATAGAATAAGAACCCCTTTTTTAACTTCTAAGGGCTACCTGACATTCAAAGAAGTTGACCTGTTGAGTGGTTGTGATGTCTCCATCTGTCCAAATGCTGTAAGTCTGACTGCACACAGTCCTTAGCAACCACCTCTAGTCAAGTCTGTTTTAAACAGGAGGGTTGGGCTAGGCAGTCTCCAGAGTTCCCTTCCAACCTCTGTGGTTGGAAGTCTGTGATTCTGGGATTATTATAATCATTGTGTTTCACTTTGATATTTCTAGACAAAAACCTGTGGTCATTAGTAATTCTGTAAAGCACAGCTAGCTACAGTGAGATTTGGGAATGTTCTTTCTACTTTAGAATCACACAATTCAAATTAATGCATTGTTCTGAAGTGCAGTTTGTTTCTCCAGAACTTACCAAAACTATCAGAATGGTCCCAAACCAACTCTCTTTATACAAAACCTCAGGTCAAGTCTTCCCTCAAGTTTAGGTTCCGAGGTATTGCCGAATCTGGTTTGAATGGTATCTTGACGAGAAAAAAGAAATTTCTTTCTACAGAACAACTTACTTACTTGCAAGTGGGGTATAAAAGAAATGTAAACTCCATTAGTTAGCCAATATAGTCCCTTGAAGTATTGATACATTGCAATTCACTGCTCTTCAAAGCATCCCTGTAAACCCTGGAATTAAACTCCTTGGTCTGATCAAGTTTCAGGTCTCATTTTCTTCAGGTACCAACAGAAGTAGAATCTACATTTCTTTATATCACATTAAAAGCTTTTGTGTGTTTCTCACAAAGTCACAGAATGGCTGGGATTGGAAGGGACCTTGACGAGTTTGAAGGACAAAAAAGTCAAAAATACGTCCAACATAATTTTAATTGTAGACATCAGATTTAACTTGCACCTACAGAGCAGAAAAAAAGTGCTAGAAGCTTTGTTTATTCACTGAATGAAATTTATTACAAATACACATATTCACTTCTTATTATGTGCGCACTGCACATTAGAAACAAAACCATATAGAACCAAAAGTGCTTTTATTACATATCAGAAAAACCCTGCGATACACAACACAATGCAGAATCCTACTGGAAGTCATTTAACCTCAACCAGGTATAAAACCCCTCGAACATCTGAACGTACTCTCCCACAAGAATTACGTAATACTAACAATGACGTATCGGTACCAAGGTGCTTCAAAACAAACACGCAAGTGCTTTCAAGACTGATCTCAACTGAAACGAGACACCTGAATAACAATTACTGCAGGCATACTTTGCCACAGTATTTTTAATCTTTTTTTCTTTTAATACGAAAAAAAAATCCCTGAAACTCCTTTAAATATGGCATTGAAGTTACCAGGCACTAAGACAGTTCAAGATACAAACTAATGCCTCTGCCAAAAAGAAATGTAAAGGCTTCCAGGACTGCCAGAGGCTAGATGACTCTGCCTGCTCCTTCTGTATAGCTCTCTGCAGTGCAACATTTGGTAAGCACGAAGCTTATCAAACTGCACATAAATGTAAAAAAGCTCAACATGCCATGGACTGGAATAGGGTTAGTTTCTTCTGTATTGCTGAGACTCAGAGATCTGTGGGGTCCCTTAGTTAGCCTCTACTTAGCCAAAAACTCAACGGCCTTACCTGATGGGGAGCTCTTATATGTGGCAGGAAAGGTTCATACTCTCTCTGAATATGGCATAATGCCTCCAGAATAAGAGAAGGACGTCCCTTTCAGCAGGTATTAAAGCAGACAAAAAGCCTGAGTAATCCAAACTTTTCATTTCAGATGAGCAGCTGGTTCAGAACTGAAAATAAATTTACCTCTAGTCCCACAGCTCTTTGCATCTCTTCCCTGGGACATAATTTAAGTTAGTTCAAACCTTGGATACACAGCCACATGAATCATCATTTGTTAAATACATCCTTTTGTAAAAGAACAGATACGCCTTAGTAACTCGTGTTCCTGTAGCCTGGAAGACTGCACATGAGTCACAATTGCAACTCCCATCCAAACTCGTGCTCAGAGCCACTCAAACACAAGTAGTTTTCAAAATGCTATCACAAGTTTGTGACTATGTGGAAGAAACATTGTAATCATTAAAAAAAGAACACCAACAAAACTGACCAAACAAACAAAACCAACACACACAGAAAAAAAAAAGGAGACCTGCAACCTGTACGCACAAACACTGGGCTGTGATGCACCATCCAGAAATCCAGAGGTCTCCATGTCTTCTAAGCCTCATTCCCTATCTTACAGTAGCACAGCCAGCTTCTGTAGCTGTGTTTGTCTTCCATAACGACTGCCGTATGTCAGGAAAAAAGTGCATGTTGCTGGGCATCTGTTTGTGCACTTCTTAACAGTTCATCACTGCAGTTACATGTCAAAGAGCACTTTTTTCCGAAAGGGTAACTCTAAAGGAAGGGGAACATGCTTTTGTTTATATCCCCTATTTACCCATTTTTTTTCAATTACAGCTTTTGGAGAAAGGGTCTGAAGCACGACCAGCTAAAAATTAAATATGCCCCAGTTACGGCCAGTTTAGACCAATACATTCGACACATGAAGGTAATGTGAATTAGCAGAACTGAAGTTAATGTTGTAACTTTACATGCACTGCACAGAAGTTTAGGACAGTGTTTCAGTAGGAGACAAACATGCCTCCTCTTCTTCTAACAGTACAACCTTCCGCCTGGAGAGAGACATCATGGACTTTATGACCGTTAAAGCAATTCTAACGAAAATGCGCAAGGCAAGAAAAGCAAATGGGATTACAATCTGCATAAGATGGAAAATTGCTGTGCTAAATTCACTTAACAAGCATGTTAGAAAGAAGGCCCCAAGGCTTACACAAGGGTAGAGAGCCAGCTTGGCAAACATGAAGGCATGCTCCTTGCCACCGTATCTAGCAAAAGGATGCAAAGTTTCCCTTTCATGGAGGAGGGCTGTAGTCCATATTGCAAACTGAAATATGCTGGCAAAGAAAGTGATAACACAGCTGACCTGAATGGCTTCTATTTCATTGTGAGACCTCTTTGCAAATTCGCTGGTCAGCTGGTAAGCTAGTGGAAGCCCACCAATGAAAGCCAGTGAAAGTATGTTCAGCAGTCCCATTAATCGTGTAGCTTTTGTTACATAAAGGAAAAGTGAGTGGTGGACAAACCACAGGAGACCAATCGTTACAAATGAGCCAAAGTAGGCAAGGTAGTTTGGCCCATATTCACTTAAAGCTTCAAGAAGGCTGCCATGGAACTTCTCCTTAACTTCCGTGGGATCAGGGACGTTGTCTTCACTGTAGGGAGAAAACTTACTTTACCTTGTGTATTACTGTTACAAAAACACACCTGGAGCAACACTCAATGATGTTGCTTTGCTCTGTGCAAGCAGGGAACAAGCAGCATCCCCTGTGTAGTTCTCTAATTTGTAACTTTTTCAAACAATTTCAAATAACAGTTCTGCAAATAAATGAGATCTGAAAGTAAGTTGGCATTCACTTAGATTAATGTAATAAAGTTGCCACAGTGACTAACGGCTTTTGCTGATAGAAGCCTCTTATCAGAAAACATGACTAAGCACAAAGGAAGCTTTGTTCTTTGGGATTCCTTTCCCCTCCTTAAACAGACTGCTGAAATTTGGGCATTAGAAATATGTTTTGTTTGTGTTGTGTATCTTTCCAGAAAATCATACTTAAAGTAAGCACTGCAGGTTTTAGAAGTCAAAGGCCATGTTTGGTTGATTTTATTTCCTCAAATATTACATAAAGACAAAAGTTGTATTTAACAACACAAAGCCTTACCATATATCCAAAATGAGCAAGGTTGCTACAATAGCGTAGACTCCATCACTGAATGCTTCTACCCGTTCCTTACTTAGAGGCTCACTGAGGTAAAAAGTGAAGGTTTCTAAGCTATGGTGTTCCTCCTCTTCATCTCTGTGACCTGGAAACAAACCCAGATGTTTACTAATGAAAGATAGAGTCAGTGTCTAGTACAAAACAAGTTAGTTAACCTACTGTGACCTCCACTGTAACTAGCTGTGACTCCTGCACCACTTCCAGAGTACAGACTGGACAAAGAAAAAGCTTACAGCTTCCAGAAGAAGTATGGAGAGGAACTGAGTGAAAAGCAAATGTAATCACAACTCAGTCAATAAAGTAGTCAGACATCTGATGGGGTGAGACTACACAGACATGACCTGACTGCAAACTACAGTGCCCCTTGTCACAGTAGGCACAGGCAATATTTGTACCTTATTCCCTGGCCCCGAGAGTCTGGCTTTAGCCATTTCAGAGCATTTCGGCCTCCCTGTCTATTACTGCTGCCACACGGGTGAGTCAAAAGTATGTTCCCATTTGCAGTGTACACAGACGGACTTTTAGCAGGCTGAACAGCAGCGGCATATAGGTGTTATTCTTCTGACTCATCTTGGGCGTGCCAATTCCAAAGGCATGATCTGCTCCATGTTACTGTGGTCAGTTTACTTTGTTCTCAAAGAGGGACATGCCATTTTTTGGGTAACTTGCACAGGACCACCTTCTCCTTTATTTTGGCACTGGCAACCTTCCTCTCAGCAGAGTTTAAGAGCGGCTCTGGCTGTTGGTGTGGTTATGCAATTGTTTGTGACGCACACAGAACATAAGCAAGGAGCGTGAGGGAAGCATTCACAGATTTAGGCTGACTTAAGCCATATGTGAAGGCACAACTTTAGACCACAGCAGTTAGATTAATGGGATGTAACACCCTGAACAGTTAATTACCCTGAAAAAAGTTTGATTTATAGGGGTTCTGCTTGCCGGTTTGAAAATGTGGGACCATAGAGTATTGCTGGGAAGAAAGTGATACAGGCATAGACCTTGCTTCCTATATTCTTCAATCTACATCCTGTCTTTTTAGGAGGGAAAAGGGATAGAGAGCCTGCAGCCATCATTCATGTACTTGTGTGTGTGTGTGCCTGCAGATGCATATTCAGGACAAACCTGAGAGGTTTTGCACTCGGAGATTATCTTTAAATGTGTTGTTCCTTTACAAAAACCTAGTCACAAATTAAGGAATACCAGGGAGTGAGGGAGAAACTGGAAGCACTATAAAAATCACTATGTTCCAAGACTGAAAATGGAAGTAGAACTAAGATTACTTCAGTCCAGGCTGTTTAGACAACACGTTGACAACTTAGTAACATATCTGAACATACTCCCATGAATACTGTTACTCACCAACAATCTTGGTTTTACACCATGTAAAGAATCGAGTGAGATGTGGAAAAACAATTACGAGGCCAAGAAGTATGTAAGACTATGGAGAGGAAAACAGTTTAGTTATCAAAATATAAATCATCTTCCAAGTTAAATATGAAATATTACTCTCAATCTTTAGGTATAATCACAATGTAAAAAACAAATCTTGACTTCACAACATGTGAAACACTTAACCTGAAATGCACATGCACATCCTGAATATTGCAAGTGCAACCTAAATACCTGCTTTTTGATCGCTAATTTTGTACTGGTAATGATTCTGCTAACAAAAATGCATTAGTGATTTCTTTGGAAGCTGGAGAACTATTGCACATGATCCTCATGGGAACTTGAGAGATTCTATGATTCTACTACTTGTGTCCCAAAGACACCTTGGTGGGTCATAAGTGGTTCACTGGCTTTGCACAGATCTAAGCACAAGAGCAACTTGGAGACTAATTTCACTGTTATTAGTATTAGAAGAAAATACACTAGTGAACTAGGTGAGAGAGAAGAGGGAAGCAAGAGTGTAAGAGGAAAACGTATTTTCAGTTAAAATTAGGCCTTTTCATGTTTGGACACATAACTGTCACTTTTAATAAGATCAATCTGATTTCCCCCCAAACTTTGCGATTATTTAAACACTGCTAATTCCCATGGAGTCTTTCTCAAAATTCAGTTAAATCCTAAAGCACAAGACTGCAGAAAGGAACCTCAGGATACTTTCAAAAACTAGATTTCAGTTCCAAGCAAGAGTTCTGAGAAAGATAAAAGCTATTAATACCTCACTGTCATGTAATAAAGACGGCAGAGAAAAAGGCTGCATAAGAGCAGGCCTGAGCCAAAAACGTTTGTTTTGAGATGCAGGTTGGCTAACTGGTCTGCTTATTCTACTTGCTCTTACACCCTGAGTTAGTGCAGCAATTACATTAACTGTCTTCGGTCTGTGCAATGTGATGCTTATTTCATGTGATCTTCCACATTTTCTCACCTGCTTACGATGAGCAAGCTGCTAAATGACAGTTTAGAAGACCTTCTAATTAAGAGAAGCTTTAAAAAGAAACAGGCAGAGCAAGTAAAGCAAATATTGTAGCAGAATATTATTTTAAAACTATCCAAACTTATGCATCAAATTACAGATTAGTACGTGTGAACCTTCAGTGCAAAAAAGCAGCCACGATTACAACACCACAGTTGCCACAACTGGCAACTGAGAAAGTCTGCATGTTTAACATCGACATCGTTATTTTAACACACTGGACTAAATACAACTAATATAAACTGCTGCAGCAAAGTTTTTGGTTAACTGGGAGAACTTACCAAAGGAATAAAGAAAAAAGAAAAGATGGCTGCTAAAAAGCATAAAGCTGGTCCTCTTAGGATGATCTTTAAGATATGACGTTTATAGAAATTCTGATTTTCAGACACCTGTATCTGTTGATTCAGTAAATGTGGGTGATAGAATCCATACGCTACTATCACAGCCTGCAAGAAGAGCATTACTGAAGTTATCACACACAAGTATACGCAACATTTCAAATCTCAAACTGTAAAACGATAAATGAACAAATTCCAAAACACTTTCCACCTTATTATTCACTTTCACATGGAGGGTTGGTCTTAGAAACTCTGAAATTTCACAATACACTGCATGTCAACATTTTAGTCTCCTCTGCAGAGCTTGTCATGACCATGGATGTTATATGAAGACAAATTAAGACCTCCACAATAAGGAACAGAAAGTGACAAGGCACCGCACCAGGAGAAAGCCAGTGCCATTGGACTGAGGTGGGAAGCCTGTGTTCACTCAGCCATCGCTGCATGGCTCAGTAAAAATCTCAGCGGGAGAAGTGCATTGCTATTTCCCTAAGGCATTTTTAAAGAGTGGGAAAGGAATTAATATTCTGTGGACTTTGAGATCAGCCGATTTAGTTCCACAATTCAGCTTCACAGGACAGTGGCAATGCAACTTTCATCTTATATACAAATATTGCAACAGGCACAAACTTGAAAAAGAATCGCTATACAAACAAAAAAGACATTTAGCAATTCATACCCATAGTTAAGAAACAACATTTTAATTCCACTCAAATCTATTTAAAAGTGAAACATAAACATATAGCTCCAATACCTGTATAAGGCCAATGACAACAGCACAGACACTGAACAGGAAAATGCCAAAAGGTACTTCTGGAAAGGAGGCCATTAAGGAAAACTAAAAAAAAATGCAACTAAATCAAATATTTTATTAAGAAGCAATATTGGAATAACAGCACAGAAACAGAAGCACTCTTCATTCAATCCTGAAATTCAAAAACGTAAATAATACTTTGCATTTCAACGTAACTCCACTAAATGCAATTTCTAGTCACAAATACATGCAGACATCCCAACCCAAGCCATCTGGAGAGATGGTTTTACTCTCATGATGATATCGCAAAACCGTAACCTTCTCTGACACCACGTCTCCATAATAACCACAGACTGCCCTGTAGCTCAGCATGAAGTATAATAGTGTTTTCAGTGGACAAAATGTTCAGAGCTGTGAAAATTTGTGTTATTAGGATACTATTTTGAATCTTTTCATTTCTCTACCTTCATGGCCCCTTGTTGTATTAATTTGTGCAGCTTCATTGGGGGAAAAAAAAAGCAGGGAGTAATATTAGAATAAAGTTGACAAATTTCCAAAAATTTTTTCAGCTTCAAGGCAAAGTAAGAAGTATGTGCTTTTGCTGACAAACATCATTTTACTTACCACAGCCTTATTCTCTGCAGACTAATATATAACACAGTTATATCTACAGGGAAACAGATGCTGTCATATACATCTGTTCTACACATATAACGAAAGTCAAGATGCGTTTCAAGTGACTGTTTTGTTCTGCTAATATGGTGTTCAGTTGCAAATGTTCTTGCCAGATCTAAAGGTCATTTGACCAGAAATCATACAGAACATCAAATTTTCAGATTTAAAAAAATAAATGACTGGCTATGAGAATCAACCTTGCTGAATAAGCTAAAAGTGATACCAAAAACTCTGTGTAGATTACGAAAGGAAAATGTTTTGTCATCTAAAGAGGAGTTTGAAACACAGCTTTACTTCCATTACAAAATGCAAAACATTCATCAGGCAACTCTGACATTTTTCAATATGGCTGCTTTTTTAAAAAAAGAAATCATGGGAAACTATGACTTTCCATTATTATACTTTTTCTTCTAGAATATCCCTTTTCTGCCAGGTCTATAACACGCAATAATTGAAGGTTATAACTTGTCCTTATGAATTTTAAAAAGGCAAGGCTTAACAATTACTATGGATTCAGGGTTTATACCATAATAACACTTCCCTGGATTTCTGAAGACTTTGGTAAAGTCTTTCCAAATAAATAAAAACCCTGTAATTTAAACAAATGCTAAATTTTAGACAAGTACTTACTGTGTATGGCAAGAAAGTTATGATCATCATACAAGCCTAAAAAAGAAAAAGATTGCATTGAAACACTAGGTAATTTACAAAGCAAACGATTCCCTCATTAAAGATGTGTCCAGAGAATGCAACATAGAGATCAAATGCTTGTGCGGCATAATGAGACAACCGCGCATTTCTGAAGTTGCTGCGCTTTGACTGTAACAAATGGCCAGTTCTGTACACATCTTCCATATTTGCTCTCCAAACTATACAGGCTTATTTTAGAAAACACTACAGTTTTGTTACCAATACTACAAGTAAAAGTTTTGCTGTGGCTCTTAACAGAGTTCTTTCTAAAGTAGCAATGCCAGTAGTACCACACCCCCTAAAGAGGTGTTTCTGATTTGACAGAAATATGAATCTCAGATCATAAGTATTTAATATATATAAAAAAGCCAAATTAAAAAACAAACAAACAAACAAACAAACCAAAACCACCTCAAACACAACAAAACTCATTGCTTTGGAAGCTACATTAGATCAGAATTACATGCCTTAAGCTAGTCCTCTAACATAATTCCCTGTAGTGTTATCTCATGGAGTTTAAAATCTGTTTTTATGAACAAAATTAAATTAACTACATGGTTGCACAGAGTCAGAGAACAGAATTTTAAACCATATGGCAAAATACAAAGCTCTAGCTGAAAGCAAGAATATGTTCACCATTGCAGCATGCCATTACAACTATTAATAAGCAAGATATTACAGGGTGGCTTGTTAAAAAACATATTCAAACAAAGAATTTGTAAGATACAGGATTTAGGCAAGTGTAAAACTCAAAACACCAACTCAGAGATGGGTCTCTCAGTGGTAGTTTTTGAAAGTTCATATAATCCTCTGATTCAAATAAGCTCCAGAATTAATTTCTAAGCAATGTAAACAGAGAAATGACTGAAAACGTAACTGTAATCAAACCTACCACTACGTTTTTTTGCAAAAAAAGGCATAGAATTTAATTTTCTTAAGATTGGAGGACAGATACTTCAGCTGGATACAGGTGAACAGAGCCATAAGCTTTTGCTATAGGTGCCTCTTCGTTTTTCTCAAATGAACTTCAGACTAATCCATTGCAAAGCCTCTTCTGGTGGAAGTTAAAAGCAAATTAGTTATCAATCAGCCCTGTTGGCAAGGAGGAATTCATGCTCTTTGATCTTCCTAACTTGGAAACTTGGGAGAGTTATGCTACTTAAATTAGAAACTTTTGGATATATACATACAGACTTAAAAGTGACCTGTACATGCTAGTGTAAACATCCAGCATGTCTGACAATACTCACCAGATTTAGAAGAGCGAGGACATCATCTATAAGCTCTATCACCTGAAACAACCTGTCAAGACAAGGCAAGACAGCATGAATAAGCCAGCTCCCCCATTACGGCAACACTGTGTACAAATTGTACATTCATGATATTATAGGGGAACCTGATTTTCTTTGCTCCAGAATGGATACAAGTAGTGCAGATGCTACCAAAACTCATTAGCTCAAACACAGAAGTAATTTGTTAGAAAAATTTGAAAAGCATGATATGGTCAAGTCAATCATAGAGCAGGTATTAAGAACCTCATTGCTATTAGAAGGACAAGTGGCATATGATGTAGCAAACTGGCTTCCCCTTCCCACCTCCCTCTATCCTTCTTCTACACCTAAAATGATATATTTACTTTGAAGTAAATTTCACTGTTGTTAACAGCCAATTAATCTGTGAAGAAGTGATCCAGATGTTAGTTCTGGCCCATCGAGTCACATACCTAAAACCTAACAGGCGCTGACCTACAAATAGGTAACCTTCCCTTGGAAAAAGGAGGACATGGGCGTGATTCAGGAGCAGAAGTTGATGACAGTCTCTGGAGGACTTGTCACTTCACTGCAGGATGAAATGCAGCCAAGGCAAAGGGCAGACTACTAGTTTGCTTTGTCCCACAGCAGTTTTGTTCCATAACAGCTCTATCTTTTGCCACCTCTGGGACAGAAGAGCCAGCAAACTGCTAGAGAGCTGCCCAAGGCCTGGGAACCACAGGACAGCCACCATTAGCTGTCAGTTGATCACCTGTTTACTTGAAGCCAGGCAAGGCCCAGAACTAACCAGAGACCGACAGTCTGTACTCACTGCTCATGCAAATGCTTCTGAAGCATGAACAAGGCAAATTTTGACCAGCAAGCGTTGGTCACTGCTCACACACAAACACAAACAAGTCCGTTTGATACTCTGATGCCAAAATAAAAATAGAGGCACTAGACTGATTTTTAGCCTGTCAGAAAAAGGAATGTTATGTAGGGATCTGAGCCCTGCAGAAGTACTGCAGAGATCTTCCAGACCAGATCCAGATGTTCTGAGTCCACCCAGAATCTCCGATTTTTCTTTGTCTCATATGACATTGTAAAGAGCTATTATTCTGATTTTCTCTGAGTTTTGCTTGGGAGAACAGAGGCAAGTTCATGCTGTTAGGCCCAGAGTATTTTCAGGTTTTTAAGGCTTAAAATTAAGGCTTAATTTAAGGCCTAGATTAGCACAATGATTGTTATGCAACAAAAATAAGCTTCTCTCCGGAACTGCCCCACATCTTGTTAATGCAGTTCCTGAACCACTGTCACTTAGAATCAACAGAACCAATCACCCTCTTCAAAACCTCAAAACCCTGAACTATTTAAAGACTACGCCTCAGCATTTACCTATGCAAGCAAAGAAAAGCAATGTGATAAAAACACTGATGTGAAGTATCAGCTTCAACTATTGAACTAAGGTTACACACCTCTACTAGAATACAGTCAACCCACTTAAGGAAATAATACAGTAATATTTGTACATTTCAAAACTCAAACAAAAACTGTCCTGACTCCAGTGATGCCTGCATGTCAATTTCTTCTTAACTACCATCACAGGGGGTGGTGGCTGTGTCCACAGCTCAATCAAATGCAGCATCTGCAACATCACAACTGATTTTGTGAGCAGCACTGCTGAGGACTGAGGGAGACAAGTATTAGGCCAGCTGTACTATATCACTTCCTCTATTTGTATAGCACACAAGTTCCAAAGTCATGCTTTCTCAGCATAATTAGAAGTTTATTTTCATCTAGAATATGAAGTAAAATGAAGCGTAACTCTAACATAAAAGATACATAATGCTTGCTTTTCTCTGTATCCCTCAGTGGTGTAAAAGTACAGTTATTCACTTGTTAGGGTAACATTTCTTTACAATGATTTTTTTGCATTTTTGTTCTTTACAACAAAAGACAATTCAGAAATGTATCAGCAAGATAGAAATTTATCAAACACTTGGTTACCTCCTGTCCTTTTAAATAAGTTTTACTTTAACTCTGGAGTAAAACACTGTTCCTACCTGACATGAGCTGCCCATGCCACTGTGACTATTAAGAAAGTCATCAAGTAGACTGCAATTTTTGCTAGAAGAAGTTGCTGAACACTTTCACCTAGTTTCTGAAACAGAAAGGGACATCCAGAGACAAAGTTAAATGTTACATTGTGAAATTATTAGCAGTATCTGCAAATGAGGAAGTACATGCAGTCATGTAACAGATTTTTTGAAAATGCCTGCCACGAATGCAACACTCTTCCAACAATCTTTTTACTACCATGCAGAGGAACTAGTTTATTAGACACTTGCAAGTATGCTGAAATACGCAGTCAGTGGCATATGATGTACCAACAATCTCAGTCTGTAAAAGGGCTTCCCAATGCTCTGTTCACCTTATGATTCATTTCTGCACTCTCTCATCACTCTTACTGTGATAAGGGATTTCAGAGGAGGCTGGTCACAAAACACCTCTTTTATTTTCTTGGCACTGATCTATGGCGTAGAAGTATCACATAGGTTTTCATATGATGACCGTTAACAACAAGGAAGGACAGGGCTTAACCACTGCATATATTGCATGTATCACCACAATGGCTTAAACTGACTCATGCAGCATATTTTCTGTGTTATGGATCATGCTTGAGTTTCAACTAAATGAAACAAAATATGTGTATCTAGGTCTGGTTTTAAGAGCAGGTAAAAAAAAAAAAAGTGTCATTAAAATAAAAAAAAAGTAAGCTTTCTTATATAATTAATTTATGTTTCCTACCATTCCTGTTTCTTTCAGGTCTAGGACTAGTTTATTTTCTGTAGTCTTCTTTTTCGACCTTTGCCTATTCTGAGGATATTTATTATTAACCTGATTTTAAAACCAGCATCCAGCTTGCACTAGATAAGTGGCTTCTCTAACTGATGATGTATTACCAAAAAGAACAGATGCTTTCTGAAAGGTATTTTGTCAGATGGGCTATTAATTCTTCATACAGAAGTAACTGGATAAAATCTGTGATATACAGCTTGTTCAGGCTTTATATCACAACTTCCGC